GATGATGCCATGGCTCACTCCCTCACTTCCTTCCAGGCTTTACCATATCACAATGTAACTGAGAGGTCTTCCCACACCTTCTGTTCTGTTTATCTCTTACTCATTCACATAGCTATCACAATGTACATTGTAAATGTTACTGCCCTCTGGTATGTGACTGTAAACTCTATGACATATAGGGTTGTGTTTGTTCTGATCACTGACTACAGTGTTCCTACCATCTAGCATACAACTTAACACATAGTAGACACTCAATAAATAATGTGCTGCATGTAAATGCACTAACATTATTATTTAAGGTCTGATTAGTCAACTTCTCCAATCAATGCCTTCATTCTAATTTGAGGATCTATGATTTTTAAAAGGAAATGTGCAATAGCCCTGTCTACTATTTTATTTAACGTGCCAATTTATGTATATCCTGCCCCAGGCTCATTTATTCACCTAGTATAGAATACCTAAGCACATCTTTAGGGAAAAAAATCCTGCTCTTGAACATTCTCTTTGATTTAATTGTGTGTTTACTGTGTGGTAATAATCAGAGACTAATAAACATGTTCCTGGGGAATCTTTTCCATTTCTTTTGTACTTTCTTTTATTACAAAATAATGGAGAAGTATAAAATGATAATAAATTTACCTTTGAACATTTATAGTCTGTATCTTTTAGCCTGGGGCTACTTCAAGCAAAGGTTATTTCGCTCTGGGTTTTGGTTTCCACACGAAAATGTTTTACTTGAGATTCTGTCCTTTTCATACAGAGACCTCAATTTTATGACATTCCCTATTAAGGCTCTCGGTCAAATGGGAGAATTGTGGAAATCTGCTCTTTAAGGGCTCCTTCTCAAATTTAAGTCCTCATTTCGGGGTCTTTGCCTGCTCAAACAAGTTCTCAGGGGAGTTCTCAGGGTTCTACATTTTCAGAAAGAAATATGACCATCTAAGAAAAGATCCATAAAATGCATTAATCTTATTCTAATTTTGTATATTCACTTATCACATTTCATCAAACAATTTCATGAGAAAATACCAAGCATACTGTCAGACTGATAAATAAGCCATTGTTTGGCATTTGGGAGGTTGTAAGGTTAGGTTTACTTTACCTTCAAAGGTTCCTCTTTTTTTAACATTAAAAATAGGAACTGAACTATCACGTACATCTAGAAAAGTGGACCTGAGGGTAGACCATGATACATTTCCTCAAAGCAAATGCGCCCATGTATCAAGCACCAGGTCAAAATAGGCAATACTTTCAACACTTCACAAGATGCACTCATGCATTTATTTTTTTTCAACGTTTATTTATTTTTTTGGGACAGAGAGAGACAGAGCATGAACGGGGGAGGGGCAGAGAGAGAGGGAGACACAGAATCCGAAACAGGCTCCAGGCTCCGAGCCATCAGCCCAGAGCCTGACGCGGGGCTCGAACTCACGGACCGAGATCGTGACCTGGCTGAAGTCGGACGCTTAACCGACTGCGCCACCCAGGCGCCCCAATGCACTCATGCATTTAACTGCTTTCATTCCTTCCAAAATGTAACCACTCTCCTGATTCCTAAATCCATGGAACAATTTTGCCTGTTTTTGAAATTCAATTAAAAGAAGTCATAGTAGGGGCGCCTGGGTGACTCAGTCGGTTAAGCATCCAACTTCAGCTCGGGTCATGATCTCACAGTTCATGAGTTCAAGCCCCACATCCGCTCCATGCTGACAACTCGGAGGCTGGAGCCTGCTTTGGATTCTGGGTCTCCCTCTCTCTCTCTGCCCCTCCCCCACTCACATTCAGTGTCTCTCAAAAATAAACATTAAAAAAAATAAACATTAAAAAAAAGGAAATCATCGTAGGTATACTTTTGTGTCTCACTTCTTTGGCTCAAAACTCTTTCAGGAGAGTGATCCATCCTATGTATTGTGTTTGACTATCACTTGTTCATTTTCACTGCTTTATAATATGCTATCATGTGACTATACCACAGTCATTTCCAGTTTTAGCTTTTAGAAATAAAGCTGCTATGAGGGGTGCCTGGATGGCTCATGTAGCTAAGCATCTGACTCTTGATCTAGGCTCAATTCGTGATCTCGCAGCTTTGGACATGGCGCCCTGCACTGAGGTCTGCACTGACAGCACGGAGCCTACTTGGGATTCTCTCATTCTCTCTCTCTCTCCCTCTCCCTCTCTCTCTGCCCTGCCCCTGCTTGCACATGCACTCTCTCCTCTCTCTCTGTCTCTCAAAATAATTTTTTCTTAAAGCTGCTATGAACATTCTCTTTCTACACACACACGCACACACATACACACACACACACACGTGTGCAGAGATAAATGGTAGTTACATGTTATGCCTAAGCACAAAACTGTTGGCCTATAAGAATTATGCACTTTTGCATTTAGTATATAATGCCAAACCATTTTCAATGGTTGTCTGAATTACATTTCTACCAGTTAGGAGTTCAGGTTATTCCAAATCCTCACCCTCAGCATTATTAGCTCTTTTAATTTCAGCCATTTTTATGAGTTTGTATTGGTATCTCATTGCAGTTCTAAATTTCCCCAATTACTGCTGAGGTTGAACATTCTATATTATTCTTCAGCTTCTAAACATCCCCTTTTGTGAAGTTGCTGTTCAAATTTTCTGACCCTTTTTTCTCTTGGATTTTTTTCTCATTCTTTCAAATCTAATACTTAAAAATTAAATAAATAAACAATAGGGGAAATCATAGCAGGAATGGTATACTCATCAATCATGTAAAGGTAACAATTCTTCCCAAATCGATGTATAGATTTAACTCACTGTTGATAACATTCCAAACAGGATTTATATAGAAATTAAAAAGATGATGGTAAAAGGAATGCAGAAATTCAAAGGGTCAATATAATCAAGAAAAAGTGGGGGAACCTAGCTCATCAGATACCAGTATGGATTATAAAACTGCAAAAATCCAAATGGCAGGATGTTTGTGCGTGTATAGACAGAGAAAAATGGAAGTGAATTCAAGTCCAAAAACAGAACAGCATCTGTACCAAGAAATTATTATGACACACCTAATACTCGAGAGCAATGAGTAAGTAACATTGTTTTTAAGAAATGGTGTAGTGACAGTTAGATTCCAAATGGAAAAAAAAAGAAAGAACCTGAATTTTCACCGACTCCTCATGCCAAATTCAATAATCAATTCCAGGTGATATAGAGATCCAAATTCAAGTGACAAAACAACAAAGCCTATACAGAAGACAACAAAGTGTAATATCATAATGGTTTGGGGAAGGCAAATATTTCTTAAACAGGATACAAAATTATAAAGTGACCATTTATAAAAATGAACTACATCAGAATGAAGAATTCTGCTTCATCAAAAGACACCAGTAAGTAAAAATGTAATCTAGAGGCAGAAAATACATTTGCAATGCAGAAAAGAAAGGGTTTGTATCCATAACATAGAAACAACTCGTAAGTTTGATGAAGTTCAAGTTAATTTTTCTCTTTGTGAATCAGGCCTCTGGTTTCACATCTAAGAAATATTTGGTTATCCCAAAGTGACAGAGATTTTCTTTTATGGTTTCTCTGTTTTATTGCCAGAATTTCTTCTGGTCTTATATTTAAAACTGTGAAATTAATAATTATAACATATATAGGAAACCAAAAAATTCATAATCAATAACAAATGTGAAAAAACAAAACTATCATTAAACAAGATCTATGGCTACATTAATCTACTATTTTAGAGGTGATCCGACAGCCAATTGTTTAATATGATATTATCTTGGTGGGAAGAGATCACCTACATGAAAGAGACTTAATAGAGTAATTCTTTGAATTTTCTGCTGTCTTCCTTGCTTTGTATATTTTGTAATGGAATATGGGGAACTGATATCTAAAAAAGATTTTTCTTCATGTAAATTCTACTATCTTTAAAACAATATTCTCAATTTTTGTGGTATTGATCTTTCAAAAGGATCTATCAGACTGATGTTGAGGCAAATGTTTTATAGAGTGTCTTATTATGCCTGCACAAAATTTGAAAATATACAATTAGTCACTTCAGAAAATGATAAAAATCTATAATGATTTTATAAGGCAATTTCGATAGATTAAGTATGACAATAACTGTAAATTCATAAAATCAACCAAATGCTACAGAGCCTTCACTAACATTTCCCATGTGATGCCCTCTCTGTACCAGATGAACTGAATAACTTTTGGGGGAGTATACATCACAACTAATCTATCACTGACGATGGTTATTTTTAGAGTATGTGAGCAATTTATTTGAATCTATTCTTGAAATAGAGATGTAATGTAATTAGGAAGCTACTAAGGACCTGGTAAACATCCTGGTCGATGAGAAAGATTGCAGGAAGTTGCTAAGAAAGGAGGGGCTGCCTCTAATATCGTGGTAGAAGGGAGGAATCTCAAGGTTACTCTCCTCTCATCTACATACTTGTTTAGGTATAACTGTTGACCTTCTAATGCCACACATGCATGTTCATCCAGTTAAACTAAATCAAACCTAGCAAGAGAAAACAAATTTGCAGTTCTGTAAGTTGAAAGAGTGATTTTTCTGTGTAACTTTCATACGTGGGTGTGGTATCTAATAAATGTTGCCTTAACTCAAGCTAACTTGAATACATAGAAAAATAATACTCAGCCTAGTAAAAGCCATTTGCTGCACAGAACACTACTCTAAGAAACTGAGGTTCACCAAAAGAGTGAATACGTCCTTCAGATATAACTGCATCAAGTAAAATCTGAAAACAACACACAGTGCCCTATTGGGTCTGAGTCACACCCTTCCCTGCCCTCTGTGACTCGGTACGTTTACTTGCTGAGTCACATTAGCCACCAGCAGACGCACATGAACCAGAACGCATACTCGTTATAACCACTACTGTGATTTGTAAGAGAACTTGAGAAGCTCTCCCTGCATTTGGGGCCAAAGCCCTCACTCAAACATTAACTATGCTGTCTCATGGTATCCAGACTCTGTCCAGGTCCCACTTACATTATTTTTCTGCAAGACGCGCAGTGCCTTGTTGACATTGTTCAGGGCATGAACTCTTGTGGATCCTTTTTCTTTTGGCTGAAAACAAAACGAAACAATGTTTACTGCCCAGCAGAGAGGGACAATCTACTAGAAATGAAACAATTTATACATTTTACTTCTAAGTTTGAGTATTTTAAATGAACACAGGCTGTGAGGCATTAATATAATACACTTAAGTGCTCTGGGTTGATTGTCCTTGTCATAGGACTTTCTTAGCATGAATCAACCTCTCCTCAAGAAAAAATGACAGCTTTTTTTTTTCTTCAAAAAAAATCTATTTTGGTTACCATCTCTTCATTCTGCAGCCCAGCTGGGGATTACAGCATGACCAGGAAGAGAAACAACATTGCAATAAAGGTTTATTAGTAAGGTAGATAAGTGAGTTGATTTCCACACTTTTAAGGAACGTATAAAAGAGACTTGAGCCTATAAAGATTATATAATGCCAAATAGGATTAAGACAAACTATTTTTGTCAACATTACCTTAACTGTCTTCATCACTGAAGCTCAAAACCTCAATAATCCTTGGTTCTATAACCGTCACTCCCAATCCCCCAAATACCATCTGATTCTATAATTTCAAAACTGACATTTGCACAGTACATTACAGTATGTGGATTAACTCATTTATCCAGTTGTGGAGTTTTAGAAATTCTGCCATTATGATGCCTACCATATTTACTTCTAACATAAAATATACATCTTAAGAACTTTGTAAACACACAGTAAATCTACAGATGGTCCCCAACATGATAGTTCAATTCAGGATTTCATGACTTTATGATGGTGCAAAAGTGAGAGGCATTCAGCAAAAAATGTGCTTCATGTTTTGATTTTGGATCTTTTCCCAGGCTAGTGATAACCCAGTATGATACTCTGGTGACACTGGGCAGGGGCAGTGAACCACAGCTCCCAGTCAGCCATGCAATCAATCATAAGGGTAAACAACCAATGTTCGTACAACCACTCTGTTTTTCGCTTTCCATATAGCATTACATTCCATGAGACAGTCAACACTTTATTATAATATAGGCTTCGTGGTAAATGATTTTCCCCAACTGTATGCTAATGTAAGTGTTCTGAGCATGTTTAAGGTAGGCTAGGCTAAAGTATGAAGTTCAGTAGGTTAGGTATATTCAATGAATTTTCAAATTGTATTTCCAGTTTAGGATGGATTAGTAGGGACATAACCCCATGGTAAGTCAAGGAAGATCGGTATTATTAACCATTGGCACAGTGTTGGATAGCAGTTCTCTGGAATTTACTCATCTTGCAACTCTTCATTTTCCCTATCTCAAGTTAAATGTTCTTGTCACAATAAAAAAATGAACTGAAACTTAAAAGATCATTATGAATAAAAGCCTTATAAAAAGACATTCAATAACAAAGATACCCAATATTATGAGCAAGTAATATCTATCAACGTAAGTTACATTACTGAAAAATGTCACCTGCTAGTTCTATATAGGATAGAGTATGCCAAAATAAAAGTAATATCGAATATTGTTTTATTCAGGAATAGGTCCTCTACTACTAGTTAAATCGGTAATTATTAAATTAGTGCATTTTACTAGATTGAGTAAAACTACACTGAGTTCATTTCTTTTTTCTTAGTAAATTCCCCTAAGGTTAATGTGAACTTTCTTAGAAATAATTCACGTACCAGTTTTTGCCCTGTCAGGCCTTCCAGAAGATCTAGGAGGCGTCTCCCATCCTGTAGGTCACTGAAGAGGTTCTCTATGTGCTGCTTCCCAAACTGAAACATGAAACATACCCAATTAAACCAAGCACTCTTCCAGTGATCCATTTCCATGATTATGCCTTTTAAAATTGAAAGCTGTGGTTAAGAATATGCCATGTAACAGGGTACCAGGGTGGCTCAGTCGCTTGAGCATCTGACTTTGGCTCAAGTCATGATCTCGTGGTTCATGGGCTCGAGCCCCGCATCAGGCTCTGTGCTGACAGCTCAGAGCCTCGGGCCTGCTCCAGATTCTGTGTCTCCTTCTCTCTCTCTCTCTCTCTCTCTCTCTCTGTCCCTCCCCGACTCATGCTCTGACTCTCTCTCTCTCAAAAATAAATAAACATTAAAAAAAAGAATATGTAATGTATCTAATTCTTAATCTGCCAAGGGTGAAAAATGAAAAGAGAACCTCCAAGTAAAACACAAAAAAGCAATATATCATCATTAGGTCAAATCTATTTAAATTGTTTTTTTGTTTTTTTTAATAAGGTGAGTTGGATTATCCGTAGCCTAACTGGTCTAATTAACTCAACTTTTTAAAAGCTGGTTCTATGAAGGAGAGAGAGGTAAACACACAAAGAAACAGACCACATACAATTCGCCCTGGGCAGGTGCTTAAAATTTAACTGTTTGGTATACCTCTATCATAGAGGGCCCACCATCCTGCACCTAGAACGTGCTCTCTCTGAATATACACTTTGGAAACTATCTCAGAATGATCCATTTTCATCTTGCATGGCTCATATGTTAGAAATATCTGATTTTAACTGAGTTGAAATGGGCCTGTGACACCTTTGCATCTATTTTCCTCAGTTCTTTACCTGGGAAAGTATCTGGAATTTTTGTCGCAACTGCTCATGAAAAACAATTCACTAAATGCGTGGATCTTAAAATCTTTGTGATATAGCTGTGGGCTGGCACTAAAATACTCATCTTAGAGACAAGACAAAGAGATTGAACATGTGGCCCTTTGTCACAAAAACTACAAGACAGTAAAGCCAAAATTCTGTCTGGATCCATCTAACTCCTGAGAGGCTTGTTCTTCTTAGTTTATCATACTCTGCTTTCTAGGCCTTATCCTCCTTCCATCTGATTATCTTTCAAATATTTTATTTTTCTGTCATGCTCTCAAATATTTTCTTTTTCTGGTTGAAAGCCTAAAATCCCTTCCTATGAAATCATTCACATCTCTTTCATCAGTCAGTTTCTCTAGAAAGCCCTAATTTATCAGTGGCAGATGTTTACTGAGCACCAATAAACCTGAGCTAGATGCAGGAGCATACACTAGTAAATCAGCCAGACATGACCCCCGCCCTTATAGAACTTTGAGTCCAGCTGGGAAAACAAATATTCCCAAAAGGTAATACTACACAGAATCAGTAAAAGGGACCCAGGAACATACAACTGTGGGAACGCCCATAGTACGGGGACCATGAAATACTTCCTCACAAATGTCAGGTGATGGGTCTAACATTACTTTCCATGTGAGTGGGTTTGTCTCAAGCCTTCCTCGATTGCGTGCAAACCTGACATTTCACACAGGTCAAGAAAAACAGAGAGCAGCCTTAGTTTCCAGGCAAAGGGCATCCCTGAGGTTTCCAAGATTAAAGACATAGGATTCAAGCTTTCCCTACTGCATGGTAGCCATGTCAATGACAAATCCTGTCAATGCCTTGGTGTTTCACCTAATGAGAACACAGATCCCCCACAAAAAGGCTACCAGCCCCACGGGCACCCTTGAAAATCGAGCCACAGAGATGCTTTGACAAAGATAACTGCAAGCTATTATTTGTAAATTCTCCTCTAATAGTTCTGATTAAGAATTTCAGGGGAAAAGAAGACAACATAAAAATACGAATGTGCTAAATTTTTAAAAACACCTTGACTACACATTATGTGCAAGTAAATCTCAAAACAACATGCCATTTTTATGAAACTTTAAGGAAAGCTTTCTACTAATAAGTAAAAGAAAATGAATGCATGCTTTCAAATTGGTTGAAGCTCTACGATGCCTCGAAAATGCTGTTGGCTGTTTTGTTTTCTTTTCTTTTCTTTTGTTTCATCCAGGAGCAAAACTTTACAGATGCATTTCAGAAGTGAGTGGCTTCCAATCTTATCGACAAAAAGAATATTGCACACTGAAATGTGTCAAGTTTTGAAGAAAAAAATATATACTTACCTGACAAAGATACTTGCTCTTGTTAAAAAATATGTATCTGGATAGATATATAGACAGACAGATGACAGATAGATAGATAGACGGATAGATAGATAGATAGATAGATAGAAAGATAGATAGATAGATGATAGATAACAAAGTCTGTCAAACCAGGAAGGATGTGGGTGGCAAGATGTTTATTCAAGAAGGGCAGGAACAGGGAATCAGGTAAGTATTCAGGCACAGAGTAAAGCATGAACCCCAAGGCCGTAAGGATCATCTAACATCCACAACACAAAGACTATAAAGCTTATGCTTTGGGGACAAGGAGTCCAGACAGAGGTCAAAACAAGGCAAATGGGATCTTGCTTTGATCCAAGCTCATATACACAGGCCAAGGTATTTTATAATTCTTTCTTTTAAACTGGAAGCAAACAAATGGAGAGGGAGTGAAGGACTGTAGGCTAATCAGAGGCCTCCGGGCACATCTATTTGGGGCACCTCGAAAGCAATGAGGTGACAGAGAAAAAGCTCTAGCTATCATACATAACTTTCATAACTCATACGATAAATGATATACTAAAGTATCATAATTGAAATCCAATTTCTATTTGTTATATCCACATTCTCTAATAGAGTGCTTCTCAGAATGTTCCATCAAAGCATCCTTCTAGCAGATGAGATGAAATGAATTTACCCCAGGTCTGGCAGTAAAAATTAGGCAGTGACAGCAGGTTCAAAATGTCTATAAACACATATGTTTTATGTTAAGAATTCATGGAGATTTTGCCTTCTTCTCTGAATTAATGTTTGTTTTAAAAGTATTTTCAAGCACTTACGAGTGACATTTCCTCTTCTAGGTCTGATTAAAGTGATGCTCAATGAAATGTACACTATTTAGCCTGTAACTTCACAGATCTTCAGGTGCTCAGTCTTACTATTCCTGTGGTATAAAGACCCCGGGGAAAGCAAAACATCTCATTTCTGTTGGATGGTTTTCATTTCTTTCCTAGATTCAAATCCTCATTCCATAACATTATAGCTATGATATAGTAAAAGTAGCACAGTTTTGAGAGGCAGAAATAGCTGACTTTTAAACTCAAGTCCTCTATTCACTAGCTTTGCTGTCTCAGGCAAGTGATTTAGCCTTTCTGAAGCACAATATACTCTTTTTTTGCAATAATATTTTATTTTAGTTATTATTTTTTAATATGAAATGTATTGTCAAATTGGTTTCCATACAACACCCAGTGCTCCTCCCAACAGGGGCCCTCCTCCACCGTCCCCTCCCTCCCACTCCCCATCAACCCTCAGTTTGTTCTCAGTTTTTAAGAGTCTCTTATGTTTTGGTTCCCTCCCTTTCTAACCTTTTTTTTTCTCCTTCCCCTCCCCCATAGTCTTCTGTTTAAATGGAGATTGAAATAATACCACTTCAGAGCACTCTTCTGAGGCTTAAATGGAACAGTGTGCAGTGGTATACAGACAGGGCAGATAGTAGGCACTCAATAAATACAGGATTTTTTGTTTTGTTTTGTTCAATTATTCCTTGACTTCTCTCTTTCTGGCCAAATTCCAGATGAAATACAATGCTGGTACATTATTGAGTCTACTAGAAAATGTAGAGCTCACATACAGTGTACTCTGATTTTCTTAGTTTGGTACCCTTGTAAGAGTGAAAGTCAAGGATAGAAGATGTCACTCCATATTCTATTACTAATACTGGTAAATGTGGATGGCACTCAGAGGCTTCAAGCCCTTTCTCTCTCTCTCTCTCTCTCTCTCTCTCTCTCTCTCTCTCTCTCTCTCCTTCTCCCTCCCTCCCTCCCTCCCTGTCTCTCTCTTTTTGTTCTTGGGGTTACCTTTCATTAAATCTTTTGTTTACCTCCCTTTTCATCTTCTACATCTACCATGTCTTTTTGTTGCAAGTGACATTTATGTCATGAAAACAGTAATATTTCTTTAAAATTCCCTATCTGTAATGGCTTTCAAGTATATGAAAATTATTTTGTAAAACACACAAAACATTAAACTCTCTTTGGGCCATATGACCCTGCGGCTCTCTGTCTTCAATCCCTTTCGTGACTAGTATTTTATTTAAAAGGTGAACTTTTGATATTACTCAGCAGTTTACTGCATTCACTTACATATTGTCTTCTTCCTTGCTAACCCAAATAAAAAGATGAAAGGACTATAAAATGAGATAATAATGCTTCCTGATCATTGTCAGTATGATATATAGAAATACAGATGCACAGACAAGGTTCAAAAGAAAAAATATCAGATAGGTTGATTAGCAAGTGGGATAAACAAAGTGACAAAAAATCAAAGTGAAAAAAAATTGAAAGGGACAGAAATGGATTTGTGAAAATATTTAAATAACTTCTGATTCTTCACAGTTGTTATCAATCCCTTAACCGAAAAATACACAGGGATCAATATAATATTCCAATGAGAGGTAAAGAGCACAGGAGTTATTTAGCATGGCCTTCTGCTTACAGAAAGTTCAGCCTCTGGACATCTCTGTTGGTCAGAAAGTCAAGATACTTCTCTGTGATTACAAATCGTTAGATACTGGAAATACCAAAAACACTGGGAACACCAAAAAGAAGGGTAAAAATAATTCAAAATGTATTGGTGGATGATGCTGATTGCCTCCCATAAAATTATTATAACCCATTATAGTCTAAATAGGTTGTTTTCATAGATGATTGTTTTTTTAAGTATGAATTATAAAAAGTATTTTATAAGAGAATTTTATCGAGGTGTAATATACATATAGGAAAATGCACATACCTTAAGAGTTAGCTCAATTGGCTTTTATGAACTGAACACATTCATATTATCACCACCTATATAG